ATGTCTGCTAGGTGCTGTGAATACAATGAAAGATAAGATGTTTATGGTCACATGTCTCATGAAGCTTACACTTGTGGAGTAGACCAATACAAAACAAGAAATTAACAGTTGTGATAATTGCTATGAAACAAGGAGCTAAGATGGAAGATTAACAGATGAGGACCTACTTAAGATAGGTGGTCAGGGGTCTCCTAGAAAATGGCATTTTTGCTGAGACCTAAAGGACAGAAGGTGCCCTCCTTGTGAAGAGAGCATGGAAAGAGTGGTCAGAGTAGGGAGTTAAGTAGTGCATGCAAATGTCCTGATTCCTTTCATGTTTTAAATTTATTTATGGCTTCCTATGCATGTTGTATTATATAATCATGCATTTGCTATAATTTTCTTCTTATTGAAATACATATAGCTTGTTTGCTCAATGGTGTTACAAACATTTAAAGTAATTATATAGTATGTTGTATAGTGATTACAGCAGTACTTTTTACAAACTAATTATTGAACAAAAGCAAGGTGTTAATGTATTTGAAACTATATCATTATACCTAGAGATCAGTGGGATTAATTGGAAGAAGCTAATGTTGTTCATTGATTTCATGATCATACATGTTCATTAAAACAAGTCAGGACTAGAGCCATACAATAGGGCATATACCTCCCCTGCAAGTCTCATTGTTCTTAAAAGCCATTAAGCTAAAACCCAGGAAATTTATATTTTAACCTAATTCTTGATATTAGGATAGTGTCTCAGAATGTCTATATGATTGCTGATATGATATAATACAGTAGATACTTAGAATTCCTGAAGGAGAATAAAGAAGGCCTATCCCTAAAACAGATTATATAGAAATCTAAGGCATATGAGATGATAAAAAACCTCACCTCAGCAGAGGAAGCATGATGCTGCAGCAGTGATATATATTTTTTAATTAAATTTTTTATTTTGAGATAATTGCAGATTGACATGTTGTTTTAAGACTTAATATGGAGAGATCCCGTGTACCCTATATTCAGTTTTCCCCAATGGTAGCATCTTGCAAAACTATAACATAATATCATAATCCAGATATTGACATTGATGCAGTCATGATACTGAATGTTTCCATCTCTGCAAGGTTCCCTCATGTTGCACTTTTATAGCTATGCTGCCTTCCATCTCCCACTCTCTTTTAAACCCCTGGTAACCATTAATCTGTTCTCCATTTCCACAATTTTGTCTTTCCAAGAATGTTATATAAAGAATCACATTGTATGTAAACTTTTGAGATTGGCTTTTTGCATTCATCATAATTTTTTGGAGATTCATCCAGGTGCTTTCATTCCTTTCTACTGTTAAGTAGTATTAAGTAGTATGTGTGTTAGTTTCCTAGGGTTGCCATAACAAAGTACCACAAATGAGGTGGCTTAAAAAACATAGATTTATTCTCTCATAGTTCCAGAGGCCAAAAATCTGAAATAAGACGTTGGCGTGCTGGTTTCTTCTGATGGCTTTTAGGGAGAATCTGTTCCATGCTTTTCTCCTTGCTTTTGCTAATGGCTGGCAATCCTCCGCATTCCTTGGTTTATAGAAACATCACTCCAATCTCTGCCTCCATCTTCATATGGTGTTCTGCCCGTGTGTCTCTTCTCGGTATCCAGATTTTCCTCTTCTTACAAGGACAGCAGTCATGTGGATCAAGGGACCATTCACTCCAATATGACCTCATCTTAACTAATTACATCTGCAACAATCCTTTTTCCAAATAAGGTCACATTCTGAGGTTCTTGGGGTTAGGATTTGAACATTATTATTTTGGAAGACACAATTCAAGCTGTAATAGTGTATATATCATACTTTGTCTAATCATTTGCCCTTTGAAGGACACCTGGTTTGTTTTCACTTTTTGGCTATTACAAATAAAGATGCTGCAAATATTTACGTACAGGTTTTTGTGTGGGCATAAGTTTTAATTTCTCTGGGATAAATACCCAGAGGAGTGCAAGTGCTAGTTGTATGCTAATTGCATGTTTAGTTTTTGAAGAGCGACTGTACCATGATATATTCCCGCCAGCAATGTGTAAGTGATTGCTTTCTCCTCATCCTCCCAGCAGTTTTTAAAATTTGAGCCATTCTGGTAGGTGTGTAGTGATATCTCGTTTTTTTAAAGAATTAAGACATTTTTTAGAGGAGTTTAAGTTTCACAGAAAAATTGAGGGAAAGGTCAGAGATTTCCTTTATTTAACTCACAGTCATTTTTTTTCTGGCTGAATAGTGCTTCTAACTCTTTAATTTTTTTTTCCTAAATCTTTGGTTTTTGTTGTTAGTGGCATATACCCAACCCAAACAACTCTTCCAGTTCAGCCATTTAAACTGAACTGAAGATGGGTATGATCTTTATTAGGGTTTGTGTTAGTTTCCTCTTGCTGCTGTAACAAATTACCACAAACTTGGTAACTTAAAACAGCACAAATTTATTCTCTTACATTTGTGGAGATCAGGTCACCAAGGTATTGATTTGGCTGATTTTTTCTGGAGGCTCTTGGGGACAATCTCCCTCTTTGCTTTTTCCAGCTTCTAGAGTCTGTCCTCATTCCTTGGCTCTTGGCCCCACATCATGTTGCCTTTTCTCTGTCTTTTTTCATTGCCACAATGTCTTCTCTGACATTGTCCCTCTTGCTTCCCTCTTATCAGACATTTATGATTACATTAATTAGGGCTAATCTGGATTATCCAGGATAATATCCCATGTCAACATCCTTAACTTAATCATATCTGAAAACTCCCCTTTGCCATGTCAGGTAACGTATTCATAGGTAACATGCTACCATACAGTTTAAGATACAATAAAACATATGTGTTTTACTTTAAATAGATTAAAAAAAATTTTGTTCAGATGTTCAGTTCACATTACTTTTTTGCAATTACTGTGCCTCATTTGTCATTTCATATTTCATTTTTGAAAAGCTTACTTTCATTTTTAAAATTTTTTTTTTGCATTTTTTCTCAGTAGTCTTTATGAAATTTGTTTGCAAAAGAATACTGGTAACAGTAATGATTGTAGAGTGTTATTATTTTCCAGTGTACTTCCCTACTGATTTTGTCTACATTTGTGAAATCATTCACCTTTGTTTGGACTGATCTTGCAGATATACATGAAAATGTTTTTTGCCATCTTACCTTGTACATTTTAAATTATTCCTTATACTCTTGTCATTGTTGTGATTCTTTTGGTAGCTAGGAAATACAAATAAGGAACCCTCAGGAAGCTTGAGGTTCATATGGGTGTAATCTTTTCCAGGATCTGGTCCTTATAAATTTATGTTTACAAAAGTGATTGTTTTAAAAATCAACTTTCTCTGAAGAGGTTCACTGAGAAATAAAAAAAAAATTATAACCAATTTATTATGGAAAGGAAGTTACCACCTAACAAGCAAATCAGCATGAATTTATCAGAAAATCTGTGTGGATTTAGAACACAGGGCACAGATTGTTGAAGGGTGATGAAGATGATAATAATGATGATGATAATTGCCATTTACTGAATTCTTACTTTATGGGATGCTCTGTGCCTATTGACAGATTTTTCAAATATTATCTCATTGAATTCTCAGAACAACCCTGACAATAGGTATTATTAATTTTTACAGTGATAAAACTGAAGATGAGAAAAGCAAAGTGATTAAGTCATGAAGTTGAATCTGTCCTAATTCAGTGTAATTACACTCTGTCCATGATGACTTTACTTGGGAAGCGTTAATGAGCTCTGATAGTATGGCACATCTTTCTCCATTAATTCTGCCATTAACTTCACCTGTTAGAATGGTTTATCTTTTGGATATTGCTAGGTCTTTCTTAGAAATAATCTTACTCATTAGTTCTACTTCTCCAAAATCTCACTCAGTTCTCTACCTTTTCGTTCAAGTTTCACCTGCAACTCATTGCAATATAATTGAGAGGATTACAGCTTTCTTTATAGCATCCACTGAGGCTGCACCCTGCTCAGTTTGATTGGAATTGAGTTTTCAAAATATCGGTCATCATCATATTTATGAACAAACCTCTTAGTGTAGGTTCCTTCTGCCTACGATTACTTATTTAGTTTTGTTAATTCTTATAAGTTCTAATTTAAGAAAATAACGTTTGCTGACATTATTCTCTAGCTCTGAAGCTTTCCCTAAGACAATCTGTTGTCTCTTAGATAGTAATAATTTACTTTCAGTAGTGCGTGACACAGTTCTTAGCTACTGTTCGTAGGTAGTAATATACTATGTATGGCAGTGTTTCCAGAGATGTTGCCTGCCACCCTACCTGTTTTCTTGTGGCTCTAATGTGGGTGAATTAGTTTGAAATTCCCATTGGGGCAGCCTCCAAGGGATAAAAAGACGCAATAAGGCAACATGTGGCCTATGTAGTTCTCTAAGGAGGGATGGGGAAGCCTGCTGTCTTTACAGTGGTGACATTGGGAAGATTTGGGGATTTATGTTATGCTCATTCCCTTAATCACAGTTCAACCCTCAGTCCTTGTCAGGACAGCTTTCCCCAATCTAAACACACACCCCTCACAATATACACACAGCTTGGTCCCAGGCTGTCACCTTGATTTGATTTGTTTTACTGTAGGCACAGATCTGACTCCAGCCATATTCCACTTGAGATTTGAAATAAATTAAGATTCTACTTCAGTCATATTAATTCATTTTATGTCCTGCACTTCTGGACCTAAGTGTTTGTCTCTGTGAGGTAGATGGTTTAACTATAAAATAAATTGAATGCGATTCATCATAATATTTTGAAAGCATCTTGAATTTGGTTTTTGCTGCCATACATTTTCTTCCATTTTATTAAGGCTAACATTTAATAACCATTGTGACAACTCAAAATCTGTTAGGTTCATAATTCTTATGATTCTGAAGGACTCATAAAGATGAAAATGAAAGAAAACAGAAGCATAATATATATAGTTTCCTTTAAAGTCTTCATTTCTTAAGGAAGTTGAAATAATTTAAATTTATGTGTTCTCTTTTAGTATTGTGCTTCTGTTAAGCCAAAAACAGGCACTTGAAGAGCTGAAACAGTCAGTCCAGCAGCTGAGATGTACTGAGGCAAAGTTTACAGCGCAGAAAGAATTACTAGAGCAAAAAGTGCAAGAAAATGATGGGAAAGAGCCACCTCCAGTAGTAAATTATGAAGAAGATGCACGATCAGTTACATCTATGGTAAGCCAAAGAGTAATCAAATGAGAAACTTGAAAGAGTAGTATCTAGGTAATAAGTGCATATAAAAATTAATTCCGGTTTGTTATAACAAATTATTACTCTTGTTAATATGCAGGTCCTATTAAACTTGTTTGTAAATGCCAAATAGACTTGTCAGTCACCTCAGGTCACCTGGAGAGCACTTTCAGAAACCACCTGTAGAGTCAGAGGAAAAAGCTCTTCTCTTGCCTTCAAAACTGAAAAAAAGACTGCACTTGTTTTTATTCCTGGGAGACAGCAGGAAGGTAGGGTGTTATTCTTAAGATAGAAGTAAGAAATAAGGAGAAAGCTATTTATTAATTTTTTTTCTTAAGCAGAGTAGAATCTTATTTACCTGAGATTGATGATGTATTTATTGTTTTCACAATACAAAACATTGATTTTGTTTAAAAAAAGGTTTCTTTCTTATAAATATCCTTAAACTACAATAAACACATTCAAATCCACCAACTAGAAATTTAGTTTTATTTTATAATATAGTTTCATTAACTGTTTAAGAATGCCTCTTATACTTTCTCTTTCTTCCTCCCTTCCTTCTTTCGTTCCTTCTTTCCTTCCATTCAACTTATGTTGATTGTTCTCACCAAGGGACAGTTTTGCCCCCCAGGGGATATTTGGCAATTTCTCCAGAAATTTTGGTTGTTATAGCTAGTGGGTGCTATTGGTATCTAGTGGGTAGAGGCCAATGATGCTGCTAAACATCCTACAATGCACAGGGCAGCCCCTCCCTTCACAGTCCCATCCAAAAATTATCCAACCCAAAATGTCAATAGTGCCAAGATTGAAAACGCCTGAGTTATATCCTTGGCTTTTCTGTGGTTAGTTAGATGCAGTCCATAAATAGCACTCTTATAATTAATGATGTTATAGATGATATTTTAGTAATTTTTAGTTTATGTGGTTCTAAATAGTGCAATTTGATTGTTAAATAAATTCAGTGTTCTCTGTAGGAAAAAACGCTGCATTTGAAATGTGATAAATCTGGAGATGAATATGAAGTATTTTAATTATTGTGCTTACCGATTTTTTTTTTTTTTGAGGAAGGTTGGCCCTGAGCTAACATCTGTGCCTGTCTTCCTCTATTTTATACGTGGGACACCTGCCATAGCATGGCTTGATAAGTGGTGCGCAGATCCGCACCTCGGATCCAAACTGGCGAATGGTGGGCCACCATAGCAGAGCATGAGAACTTAACCACTATGCCACCGGGCCGGCCCCTGGTTATGCTATTTTTGCTGTTAATTGAGCTGTACTAATCTACATATTACATTGTGAATTGGGAATTATAATTCCTTGCTCTCATTTACTGTCCTATCAGATGATAAGGATCTTACTGTATGTACCAAGGGCCCTGCTAGATTCCCTTTCTTGCTTTTTGGGTCTTGATAACTATCTGACATATGCATTCTTTCTTCTGAAGTTTTTTTCTTTTACTTCTCTTTTGAAAACTTTAGCTGGTAAATATTTAGTTCTCTGAGTGTGGGTTATAATATTTCCTTGTATCTGTGTTGGTGTGGAATTGTTTACTTCATAGCTTGATTTAGTGGCAGATAATTTAAAACTGGCGATCTAATTTATTTTAAGTAATTCTATGTGCAGATGACCCATGTTGGCATTATTATTATGATAGAATAAAAGATAGTTATTTCAAGTCACTATATGATAGCAAATCTCCATTTGAAAACTACAACTAAAAACTAGACTTTGAAATTTAAAATATAACAGTTCATTAATTCTTATTTCATTAAGAACTTGTGATCATTTGGAGTTTTATTTTTCATAATCATTGAGGAAAAGCTTTTTCAACAAATGAGTAAATAGTGTTTCAGAGAAAGTATATAATACAATTTAAGAGAACACGTTGCTTTCTGGCACTTTCAAACTTTCTCTTGTATCTGTTTATTAAATGATGATAATACCTTGTAAATTTTTACAAAGTGATGTCACATATTTCATTTTATCCAAGTTATTTTAAATAGTTGAAATGCTAATTATGAATATATCTTATCTCTTCATTGTTGAATGCCTTTAGTAAGTTTTTAAGCAATTTACAAAGGAATACTATAATACGTGTACTTTAAAGTAATTAAGTGACATTTTATGAATGAAATGGGATTCCCCTAATTAATTCTAATTAATGCAATTTTACAGTATGTTTTATAAAGCAAGTAGAAATATTTGCAGTACATGGTTCTTGAAACTTGATATTACTCCCACGTATTTCAATGAAACTTTTGCATAATTCAATCTTCAATTAATAATTAGAATATCACTTTTCAATTTATTCAAAAACTAAAAATATTAAATCTTTAAATGATTTTTTTCCTAAATGACTGTTTAAGCATTATTTTATGAATAACATTACAAGAAAAACCTGAAATTAGCACAAGCAGTTCTATTGATATTTCCTCTTTATAAATTCCATCCTTGTTAAGTGGTGTAAAATTTCAGCAAGGGAAATTTAGTTTACTATTGGCAGAATTGGAAGAGCTAAAAATTTAAACTATCATGTTATGGAAAATAATGAACATTTGACCTAAATATTACATAAGAGTAAGAGAGACAGTTAACTGTTCTACATGATCCTAATTAATGGCGGTGTTAACAAAATCACAGACTCTTCAGTGCTGAATGCTTCTGTGGAAGAAGGCCTTAAGGAACTCTACCGTTGAGATGGCCATGGATTGTGTATTCTTATAAAAATTCCAAGATGATTCAGATGGATAGAGAGGGTTAGGATTGTGTTAGATATATTGATGTTTATTTTGGCTAAATAATTTAATGAAAATTAAAGCCCGTCTATTAATTTATAGAAATCTAAAAAAGTTGTGGAGGCAGATAATATAATCATCTTTGTCAGGAAAAGTCTAATGTTGTCTTTTTCTACCTAGGTTTAGTTTTGGCCAAAATACCAAGGAGAAAATGATAAATATGTATATATATTTTAAAGTTATTTTATTAAGGTCATAGTGGTTTATAACATTGTGTAATTTCAGGTGTACATTATTGTATATCACTTTCTGTATAGACTACATTGTGCTCATCACCACTAGTCTAGTTCTTATCTGTCACCATACATATGTGCCCCTTTATGCCCTTCCCCCACACCCCCACCCTTTTCCCCTCTGGTAAGCACTAATCTATTCTCTTTATCCCTGTGTTTGTTTATTTTCTTCATATAAGAGAAATCCTACAGTGTTTGTCTTTCTCTGTCTGGCTTATTTCACTTAACATATAATGCCCTCAGAGTACATCAATGTTGTTGCAAATGGGAGGATTTTGTAATTTTTTATAGCTGAGTAGTATTCCAATGTATTTATATATGACATCTTTATCCATTCATCTGTTGATGGGCACTTGGGTTGCTTCGACATCTTGACTATTGTGAATAATGCTGCAGTGAACATAGGAGTGCATAAATCTCTTTGTATTGTTGATTTCATGTTCTTTGGATAAATACTCAGTAATAGGATAGGTAGATCATATGGTATTTCTATTTTTAATTTTTGGGAAGTCTCCATACTGTGTTCCATAGTGGCTGCACTAGATTACATTCCCACCAGCAGTGCATGAAGATTTCTCCACATCCTTGCCAACATTTATTACTTTTTGTCTTTTTAAATATAGGCATTCTGACCAGTATAAGGTGATATCTTATTGTAGTTTTGATTTGCAGTTCCCTAATAATTAGTGATGTTGAACATCTTTTCATGTGCCTGTTGGCCGCCTGTCTGTCTTTGTTGGAAAAATGTCTGTTGATATCCTCTGCTAATTTTTTGATGGGATTGTTTTTTTGTTGTTCAGTTGTATGAGTTCTTTATATATTTTGGAAACTAACCCCTTGTTGGATATATGATTTGCAAATCTTTTTTCCCAGTTAATGGGTTGTCTTTTTGTTTTGTTTATGGTTCCCATTGCCTTGCAGAAGCTTTTTGGTCTGATGTAGTACCATTTGTTTGTTTATTCTTTGGTTTTCTTGCCTGAGTAGACATGGTATTCGAGAAGATGCTGCTATGACAGAAGTTAAAGAGTGTACTGCCTATATTTTCTTCTAAGGGTTTTATGGTTTCAGATCTTACCTTCAAATCTTTAATCCATTTTGAATTAATTTTTGTGTTTGATGTAAGATATTGGTCTGCTTTCAGTCTCTTACATGTGGCCATCCAGTTTTCCCAACACCATTTATTGAAGAGACTTTCCTTTCTCCGTTGTATGCTCTTGGGTCTTTTGTTGAAGATTAGGTGTCTGTAAATGTATGCTTTTATTTTTGGGCTTTCAATTCTGTTCCATTGATCTGTGTGTCTGTTTTTTTGCCAGTACCATGCTGTTTTGATGACTGTACTATGTAGTATATTTTGAAGTCAGGGATTGTGATACCACCAACTTTGTTCTTTTTTTCTCAGGATTGCTTTGGCTAACTCAGGGTATATGTTGTTCCATATAAATTTTGGCATTCTTTGTTCTATTCCTGTGAAGAATGTCTTTGGGATTCTGATTGAGATTGCATGGAATCTGTAGATTGCTTTAGGTAATATGGACATTTTATCTATGTTTATTCTTCTAGTCTGTGAGCATGGGATATTTTTCCATTTCTTTATGTTTTCTTCGATTTCTTTTAGTAGCGTCCTGTAGATTTCAGTGTATAGATCTTTCACCTCCTTGGTTAAATTTATTCCTAGATGTTTTATTCTTTTTGTTGTGATTGTAAATGGGATTGCATTCTTGAATTCTCTTTCTGATTGTTTGTTATTAGTGTTTAGAAATGCAACTGATTTTTTAAATTTTTTGGTGAGGCAGATTGTCACTGAGCTAACATCTGTACCAATCTTCCTCTATTTTGTATGTGGGATGCCACCACAGCATGGCTTGATGAGTGGTGTGTACGTCCATGCCTGTGATCCGAACTGGTGAACCCTGGGCCGCCAAAGCAGTGTGTGCGAACTTACCAATATGCCACCAGG